ATCTCCCACCTGGCTCGCTGCAGGGTAGTCTGTATCGCGAAAAGCACACGCAGCAGACTGCCTACTAATCGATGAGGCAGTGTGAGGCCGATTCTTGCATTCCTCAAGAAGTACCCTCCTCGTCTTTGACTGCGACTGCTTCTCCCCCAACTGCAAGTCAACTTGCAGGCTCACATCAGGGTGTCAGTGAGCGGGCCTAGTTCGGATCGCATTCCAACCACACCGACACATCGATGGGGGTTGTCGTGTCTGTCGTCACACCAACACAACACCACTTCAAGCGTCACCTCCTGGAAGGGGACGGATCGCAGCACACTGACGCGGCCACCATCACTTCGCCGTGGCGTCCGAGGGTGGCTGTTTTCGAGGCCACCCTGACGAGACAGCAAGCGCGAATTCATCGGTACTCGAACGTCTTACTAGGCCATAAGGGCTACGCGATGATTTGTTAACGTGTTTGCAACTTGCCGAAGTTGTAATGCGGTCAGAATTGCGACAACTACGAGTCACTAAATTAATACGCTGACTTACCCAATGAATGTGTCCAGATCAAATCTACTCCTGTACTGATTGTAGAAGTCGCGCAGAAAGCTCTCTGACTTTGTGCCCAGCGTTTGCGCGATCGCAGCGAAGTCGTCGCCATGCTTGGAGAGGGCCGAGACGAAGAGCGCCAGTTCCAGCCTCGTCCAGCGGTAGGAAACCTTCAAGAATGAAAGACTGTGTAGTGAAGACTGCGTCCACGCCTACACACCACCAGTTACTTCAAATCCTTCTGTTGATTCTACATTTAGCAATAAACTTGCCAAAATGCATCTGGTTGAGTGAAGCAGAGTGAATAAACAAACAGGAATGATTGATTTTCTGAATTCAATTTGCTACTACATCCGTTAGTTCAGGTACTTCGCGGCAAGATCATGCGAAAAAAGCAATGCCAGTGCACAAAAAGGCCTTTAAGAATCCAGAGGAAAAGTACACATCCTCAAATAGTGCACGGACGCGGAAATACGTCTTCGGTCATTGCAGTTAGTTCGTCACTTGCGTGCACCTAATTGCCCAGCCGATTTAAACGACGAAAATTGGGTTTTGCGTTGATTCCAGGCTACTGGTCTTGCGGTCAGACGGCCGCGAGCGATTCCGTGAACACGGGATCACCTGTTAGAGGTCAATTTGGGGTCAGAGTGAAGAAATTGCTAGGGCTCGGCACGCACCGACAGAAGCCAAATGCCCAAATTGACTGGGGTGTGTAAACTGAGTAGGCACAAATCGGAGGCTTGCCTGCAGGGGCCTGACCTAACACGAGTCACGCCTCACTTTATCATTAACTAATTATGCTGAATAGAAATTAAAAAAAAAAGCTTTTCAACAAAATCTAGCCATGTGATTCAGTCGACTTGTGATCACTGAATCGAATAGACTTGACTTCTACCAAGCACGAGCACGGCTCAAGCGGAGCTGTTCACGATTGTGGACAGACCGTGTCAACGCGTTAGCGTTTGGGGTGAGAAATAAATTACCACCTTGGAGGAAAAACAGGCCTGTGAACGATTGCGTTCATGCTACTTATAAAATGTTAGTAAAAAAGTTTGGTAGACAACGCTTTTGAACAACATAAGTCCGCATTTGTCTACGGCAAGACCTGGAAGGTGTCGCATTAACAGAGCAAACAGACTAGGCACCCTGGAGAGGGCTTTGAGGCGTCAAGAGAATTCGACGGGAGTGAGTGACGGGCTTACATTTGGGAATCCACCCTCGGGGTAAAATTTCTCCAAGCCCTCGAAAATACCTTGGATTTGAGCATCAACGGACTACAAGAAAAGAAAAAAAAACGAGTTTAGCACGGGCTGTAGTTGTAATTTTTGACCCGATGTGGAAAAAAAGGTCGTAGGAAGGTGAGAAAATCGAATAAGAAAAGGCTGCCAACGAAGTGAATTCGCACGAAACGCGTCCACAGACAGCCTCATCCGGAATACGTGTGAGTTTGCGCAAACTGGACCAGCGCTATTTCCAAACTAACTACAGTGGCCACACGTTAAGTAAACAACGCAGAACATCTTTTAAAGGTAGGAAACGAGTACGGCACCTTGATCAGGGACTTCAATTCGTTGTCGACGGGCGCGAGCTTCGAGAGCTCGTCCTCGCGCATTTTCTCCAGCTCCTCGGGAGGGGTTTTTACAAATTTCAGGAACTCCTCGTGGTCGTAGTGCATTCCCGAGGGCAGACCACGTTTATTCATTCTTTAAAGCAAAAGGGGAACTTTTAATTAGTTCGCTGCAGACAATATACAGCCACACCAAAGTATAATTAAAACAAAATACGAAAAAGTCTACAGCAAGTCGCATGAGATAGGCGAGTTTGCTCACGGACTCGAAGTGTTATTTCGTTTTTCCATTTCGGTTTAATGCTTACTACTACAACTATTTGAGTACACACGATTTAAATTTAGAAGGATAGCAATGAATGAGCGACCAAATGGGGTGCTTAAATGTGTACTGATGTGAAAACACGAAGTAAACAAGAACCGAGTCACACCAAACAAAGCCTAGTTCAGACCAGAATGAGCACGTTCCACTGAGTAGCAAAGTAGTTAGATACGTTGAGGCCAAGAGCACTGTTAAACCAACCATCACTGAGGTGATGCGCAGTAGTGATGTCGATGCATTTAATGACTGCGTTCGAACCTGCACAGACCGGATTGGGCCTTGAGCAGGGCCAAAAAGACGCGATTAGAATTGTGGTGCTAAACGAAACTTCCGGGTCACTTGGTACAGTAAGTGGTCCGTGAAAGCGCAAGGATTTCAACTAAACTTGCCACACATTGCGGCAATCACATCGCAAACACCACGCACACGGGACAAGCGCGCGTTGGGGCCACGCGTTGAGCGGAACACCGACACTGGGCTCAATGCGCTCAGTGCGTCTCCGACGGGGTTAGGGGTGTGGCACGGTGCGGGCTCAGCTTACAACGCAATGCTTCACTCAAGGCAGAAGCACAGAGGGTCAGCGATTTAATGATTTTCAAACCAAACACAGTTCAGAGGGAGATCAGCTTGCGTAAGAAGCAATTTTCATGACGGTAGGTGGCAAAACGCATGAATGATAAGCAAAATTCGAAGCGAATATATTATCAAGCGGTAATCCATAAATTGTAGCGCGAAATTTGTTAATGAATGAACAGAGGTCTAGGCAAAAATAGTAGAGAAATATATAACTGTCTGACTGATTCAACAATACATGATGCGAAAGTGCCACAAGCTAGAGGCCACAGCTATGCACTCAAAGTAAATCTGGGCTGTTTAGAACAAACACAGAAATCGGTATGAAATAAGAGCCACCGCCTGCTCTTGCACACCTCGAATTGCCCCCATCCACACAGCGAGATTCGATTAGAAGTGGGCTCACACGAGGACACCTGTGAACAGACTCGGGTGAGGTAGGTCCAGAGCAAAATACATTACATGGTGTAGAAGCTCGGCAATACAATGGCGACCACCAGCCACGGGAACCCAATCGCTAGAATTGGCCGATGCGCAAGTGAACGGTTAGTCTGTACTCGGAGAAAATAAAGGATCGTAAGCAGACACCGAGCTCATGGTTTAAGGAAGGAAAGCTCTATTCGCGGTTGAGAGGTGCTGATGGGGCGACGGAAACGTCACATAGGGGACCGAATTGTCACCCGAACATCGAAATTTGCGGTGATGTATATGCACTTTTGGTAGAAAAAAAAAACTTTCACCTTGACCCGATCAATTACGCACTAGTTTTCACACAAGCTTTCATGTGAGATTATCGCAGTACACTGGCTTAACATCCACACATTTAAGAACATGCGCGAGCCTACTGCTGGTTGTAACCCAAATTGCTGTTCGAACCGTCGACATTTCGGCACACACACACAGTCTTTCATCTACACCAGGGCTGCGATTTCAACAAGGATTGCTTCAGAAAACTTGTTTAACGAGATGATGGTTTCAAACCCGTAGCCCAAACTTGTGTCGGCAGGCATGGGGGGCCGAAATGGAGTCAAAGCTGTGTTTTACAGGGATGGTCACTTGACGACATGACGACAGATTAGTGCTGATAAAATTCACTAAACAAATTGTCACACAGGAATCCAATTAAGCTGGGATTAAAGACCTGGCCAGAAGGATCTCGAAACGGGATAGTAGACGACTGAATGACGAGACTTTGTGGGTTAAACCATGGTAGGAAAACAGTAAAATTGATTAGAGTAAAGAAAAACAACAGAACAACCACCAAGCATTTCCTAAATAGCACTTGATTGAGAGAGAATTGAATAGGATTCTGGGGGGACCTTGTCATTTCCTGGTCATGCTGATTAGTGAAATGAGAGCGCGAGAAAATGATGATAAGTCATACCTCGGGCGGGAATCACAAAATGATGACGAATGATCCGAGCTGGCAGCTAAAGATTCGGTGGCAGCCCCGGGGAATCGTCTGCCAAAAGTTAGAGTTCTGTACCCACCACCCTCGTTAATGATACTGGACGATGCTGTGGGTCGCCCGCGCCTTACATCAGCCAATAAACGTCCTGCCTGTTGCCAACCAACAATGTCACACAAGTGGCGCTCCAACGCACTATCGACAGAAGCTTCCTCGTCTTCTAAAACCGGTGCAACCACTTGTCGTTGGGGAGAAGAGGGCGTGGGAATGAATCCACATTTGAGGGCCTTCTCGTAACAGTTTTGCATTTGACGTCCGTGTCGGCGATTGTGGCGAGAAATAGCCTTGAATGGGGCCGCGATGCCGTAATACAGCCCGTGAACCTCCCCCATACGGTAGGCCGGGAACT